ATACTGAAGAGACCTTTGTAGACAGCTCTTGTTTCATTAACTTTGTTATTATGAAAACTTACTTAAGAGTGGGAGCAACCCTCTCCTGCTTGTACGCAGCCTAACAGAGAAGAATCAGGATTGACTGGATAAGGATGAGTGATGATTTGAGATATGATGGAACAGCAACTCTGAATGCTCCAGTAAACAGAGGCCCCACCATATTATCTTCTCATTTTTTGACATCTGAGAAATGAAAGTTTCTGCTGTTTGATCACGTGGGGGCAGAGAAACCATGTGAACACAGCATTTTGTGCGTATCTAGTTTTACAAACTAGAATAAGATTTGAATATGCTTGTACACTTTATTTTTCTCATAATAGGTGTTCAAATAAAACATATGAAGTGGTTGAAATAATAAAAATGGGATATAAATGTCTTTGTGGAAAAATACAAGCCATATGTCAACAAATTATGTCAATGGACAGCTTAGCCTCCTATGTAAACACATGTACAGAGGTGAGCCAATACTCACCAAGTCCTCCTCAAATGGATGAGTCAATGAAGAAAATATCAACAGAATTATAAAAGACTTTCTCCTTACATATTTAACAAGTTTTTATTCATAAAATACATAGTTTTATTGCCTAGCCTGGGAAGAGAAAATTTTATGATAAAGAAAAGGTCATATGCTAATTCTTATTCTATGAAAAAGATGACGTTTAAAATTCTTAACATTTTCTTCTTTGAACAGCTTCTATTCATACATTGATTTTTATTTATTTCATTTTATTTATGAGTGTGTGTGGGAACTCACATAAGCATATTTGGAGAGGAAAGAAAGGATGTTGTGTGTCCCCTAGTATAGGGTCTAGAAAACAACCTTGGTCATTTGCATGATAAGGAAGAGTCTTAATCCTTAATCCACATCTCCAATTACTACATCATACTTTAAGCATTTCATCACTCCTACAAGCTATGTATATTTTAATGATATTTCAAAATTATTTATTTGAATATTTTTGTTTTTTAATTTTATTTTTTAATTAAAATTTTATTTTTATATTAATTACAGTTTATTCACTTTGTATCCCAGCTGTAGCCTTCTCCTTCCTCCCCTCCAAATTCCATCCTCCCTCACTCATCTCCTCTCATGCTTCTCTCCAAATCTGCTGATAGGGGAGGTCCTCCTCCCCTTCCCTCTGATCTTAGCTTATCAGGTCTCATCAGAACTGGCTGCATTGTCCTCCTCTGTGGACTGTCAAGGCTGCTCCCCCATCATGGGGAGGTGGTCAAAGAACCAGCCACTAAGTTCTTGTCAGAGACAGTCCCTGTTCCCATCACTAGGACACCCACTTGGATACTGAGCTTCCATGGGCTACATCTCTACAGGTTTCTAGGTTATATCCATGAATCCACCATATTTATTTGAATTTTGAGAATATAATTACATTATTTTCCCACTTTCAAACTCTCCTATGTACTACTCCTTGTTCTTTTACAAAAGCATGGTCTCTTTTTGCATTAATTTTTGCTACATCCATACATGTATATATAAAAAAAAGAGTTAAAACAAAACAAAACAAAATCATCCAAATGACCCACTCGAAAAATGGGTCTGGAACCTAAACATCGAATTCTCAAAAGAAGAAAAACTGACCAAAAAATGTCAAAAATGTCTATGTTTTTTTAAATTGAAAAATTGTGGCATACAAACATAAGAAGTGTTTTGCTCAATGTCTTGGATTTTGGAAACTGTTTAAACTGTGGATAATTTAATTGTTATAATTTATTCCGTGGTATATATGTAAAAGGTTTGTAATTAAAGCTTTATCTTACTGTTAGTTATATACATGTGTGTCTATGTGTGAATCTACTTCTCTTTCTGTGTCTCTCTGTGTATGTTTTTGTATATGCGTGTCTGTATGTTTGTGTGTGTGCCTCTGTTTGTGTCTGTGTATCTATACTTGTCTGTCTGTCTCTGTGTGTGTGTACTTTGTGTGCAGTGTTATTAGAGGCTGGAGGAGGGCATTGTTCTTCCTGGAGCTGGAGGCACATGTGGGTGCTTTCCCTGATTGGGTGCTGGAAAGCAAAGTTGGGCTCCTGCAAGAGCAGTGCATACTCTTAACCACTGAAGGGCTACCTCCCCAACCTTCTGGGTTTTTTCTTTTAATTGCCTCCTCTTTTATGTTTTTCTGAGACTTTTAGAATGTGAAAACCCAAATCAAATCTATAATATTAAAAACACAAATCTATTAAATCACATTAGTTATATTATACTTTCCACCCCACATCGTATAATAGACTTTATGAAGGCTTCTTTGATATTTAAAGATCATGCAGAGAGTGACTGGGAAGAGAACTCAGTCAGTGAAGTGCTTGCCTATCAAGTAAGGATGTGAGTTCAATCCACAGAGCCCATGCAAAAAGGCTGGGCATGGTGAAATGTGCTCCTAATCTCAGAGCAGTCGTGACAGAGACCATGAATCCCTGGGGTGTTCAGGCCAGTCAGGTTTATGGCCAGCAGGGAGCACTGCCATTACTCCATTGCACATTTCCCTTTTCCCCATGCTTTCATTGCTTAAATGGGATGTCTTTGATGACTTTAAAAGTAAGCTTTATGGGAAGTGAATCACTTAACATAGAGGGCTGAAAAAGTCTCTCCCTCCTCATACAATCATACATTTATGGAGAGAGGAGACTGTTCTTTCCTCTTCCAACAATAAGACAACAGGGTTTAAAGCTGAAAAATAAATGTTTCCAGACAAATTAAGGGCTTAGAACAGTTAACATCCAAATGTATGGTAACTACAGCATGTTTTCTTTACCTATTTATTCAGTGAATGTTCTGGGACATGTGTGCTGGTGTCAGTACTAGGTACATTAGTGGCATTAAGAGAGTACACTGATAATATTTCCATGAAAATTTACCAGAGGAAAAGCAATTATTTCACTGAGTGAACACTGCCACTTTTAAACCATTCAGAAACAATTCTCGACATCATTAGCTATCTCGTATGTTAGGAAAGGTATAGCATTATTCTGAAGTAATTTGTTTACGTGTTCTCTGCCATCCACACATCTGGGTATGCTTGATAAGGTGTACGAGGCAATCGAAAAGACTCAAAAGGTGAAACATATATGCATGCATGCCTAAATATTCAGTCATCTCTAGTTTGCTGTTTACAGTTATAAAACATCTCCAGTTTTGTAAAAACTTCTTCAAGGATTTTAAATTGTTCACACACAAAAAAAAAAATCACCAGTTGAATTCAAAGAGCAGATGACTAAATCAGGGGAAAAAAAACTGTAACTTTAAAAAATTCTTTTATTTTTATTTGTTGTGTAGGTGTGTGTGTGTGTGTGTGTGTGTGTGTGTGTGTGTGTGTTCGGGTTCCTGCAAAGGGCAGGAGAGAGCATTGGGTCCTCCTGGAGCTGGATGTGCAGGAAATTGTGAGCTGCCCATTGTGGGTGCTGGGAACCTCACTTGGGTCCTCTACAGGCAACTATTCACTTTTAACCACTGAACAACCTCTCTAGCTCCATGTTTTTTATTTTTTTGGGGGGAGGGGCATTTGGCCTCTTAGTTAAGATAGATGACTGCTGAATGAACCTTTTGTTATGAATTTAAGCTACTACCTAAACATAAGGAAAATGGAAATGAAAAGAGGAATCTGTTTTCCTGTGTGAAAACTAGAGGAGGCATGTTATAGAGAGTTACACGGGGGAAGGGCTAGTTGGATGCACATTGGGAGAAAGATCTCTAAGAAATAGTTCAGGCTCAACTGAAAGCAAGAAGATGGGTACTGAAAGTTCACTATTGGGTGTTAAGAGATCATTATTATTATTATTATTTCTGTTGAGCAACAAAGCAGGCCTCCAGAAAATCTCAAAGCCTATGTCACATCATGTCACCATGTTGTGTAAAGAATGCTTTTCTAATAAAATAAATTAAAAACTTAAATTAAATTTTAAAAAATTAAAAATAAGGGAAGTGCTCCAGCAAGGATGAAGTAACTTTGCATCAGGAATGGAGATAATAACAAGACAGACTTTGAGGTGTACATGATCCTACAAAGGTAACTCTTCCTCCAAGATCTCCAAGGATACCAAAAGGACTGCCAATGGAGTTGGCAGTCACTTTCCATAGAGTTATTTTGAGATATTTAGTTGCATTTTAAAACTAAGATGAGCCATAGCTCTTAGTAGTCAGGCATATTTCTCTATTATGAGAACGATACAATAATATTATAAAGTTTAAAGTAGCATGCATCTTTGATTTGACTGAAGTTTGTAGAGATGGTACAAGGCATCCTTTATCAATAGAGGGTCAAAGTGAGGAGGCTGAAGGGGCAGCAATTTACCTCTGACCAGCTGACTATTAACAGATAATGGAGATGGGAGAATCACATCTTTAGTTGTGTGTGCAGTGTTCAAGCCCACAAGACTCCAACAGAAAGCTACAACAGCATTGATCTCACAGACAGTACTGGTTACTCTTAATGGTTCATGGAGAAAAATGGCTAGATATGAAAATGAAAGAGAGATTTGTAGGAAGAAGAGAAGGTTAGATAGAAATGATTAAAGGGATGAGAATAAGGTAGTGGGAAGCATGCATTTTTCACATGTATAAAATTGTCTAAATATTTAAGTAACTACAATAACAAATTTCTTTCTTTCTTTTAACATCCTTTTTGTAGCTCGATTCCTACTTTCCTCCCAATCCGACTCTACCTCCTCCCCCTTCCCCCTTCCCCTTTTTCTCAGAAAAGGAGAGCTCCCTTTCCCATCCAGTCCAGCTCATAAAGTTGCATCAGAACTGAACATGTCCTCTTCCCTGTGGGCCTGACAAGGTAGTCCTGCCAGAAGAAAGTGATCAAAAAGCTGGCCAAGTGAGTTCTTGTCCAATGCAGTCGCTGCTTCCCTTACTAGACGACCCACATGAGGCCTAAGCTGCCCATCTGCTAAATCTTTGTAGGGGTCTTAGGTCCAGTTCATACATGGTCCTTGGTTGATGTTTCAGTCTCAGCAAGACCCCATATATTAAAGTTGTAATGATACAGATCAGAGAAGATTAGCATGGTTCCTGCACAAAGATGACATGCAAAATTGTGAATAAATTTATCTTATTGACTAAAAAGCCCACAAATTTATCACAATACATTGATATAGAAAATCTCAGTTGAAAATTTGAAAATGCATACATTTTTTAAAATCTGAAAACAGTGTTATAAAATATTGCTTTTTGCACTTTTTAATTCTTAAATTTTTTTATATTGTATTATTTTATATCTCATTTGTAGCTCCTTTCTTCATCTCCTCCCATCCCATCCTTCCTCCCTTCCTCTTTTTCCTATCCCCCTCCCCTAGACCATAGAAAGGTGAAACCCTCCTCCCCTACCATCTTACCCTAGTATATCAAGTCTGATCTGGACTGCCTGGATCCTCTTCTTCTGTGGCCTGGCAAGGCCACCCCATCAGGGGGCCATGAGGAAGTGATCAAAGAGCCAATAACAGAGTCCATGTCAAAGATAACCCCTGCTCTCCTTACTAGGAGACCCACATGAAGACTGAGCTTGCCTATGGGCTATAGCTGAGCAGGGGGTCAAAATATTGCTTTAAGAATATATCTTCTAGGGGCTAGAGAGAGGGCTCAGTGCTGAATAGCATGTTCTGTTTTTCTAGGGAGCCCATATTCAGTTCACAGAACACGCAAAAACATCTAACTGTCTTCTGTATATCCCGCCCCAGAGGATCAGATGTGTCCATCTATTCTTCCCCAGCACCAAAATGCATAAAAAACAAAACAAAACAAAACACCACAAATTTTATTAAGCTTAATAAGTAGTTGTTTGCATGAAAAAAGTAGCATAAACAGGCCTTAGGTAGATTCTGTTATTTGTTTGGAATGTATTACTTCATTTGTTACATAATGTTATTGATAGCAAATATTTTTGCAAAATAAGAGAAAGCCAGGATCTCTAGCTCTTGTTTACATGACTCTCTATGTATAATTGATGGGGAATATCCCAGTGGATTTAAAACAGTTTCATAGAGAAATAACAGTGAAAGATAATACTAGATGATCAGGCTTGGGATATTATAGCAGCGGAATATGCTGCAGCAGCCTTCCTCACAGGATGTCTGAGAGAAAGTCTTCTGGATATTTTTTTAGGCAAGAGTTACTGTGCAGGTCCTACAAACATTTATTGTCTCCAAGAAAATCAAAGAGCCAACTAAAATATTTTCAATGGCTTTAAAAAGCCAAATGGCAATTAGGCTATACTTTGAACTAATCTCTTGCCAAAGTTAATATTTGCACTTAGATATGCCCTCTGAGAGAAGTAACTCAAAGCCAGTAAATACTAGTTTTAATATTTATGAAAATGAATCTGGCTAAAGCATTCATTTTGATTTGGAAAAAAAAATCTTATCATGTTGATTAGCCAAATCCCATCTCAGCATGTGTATTAGTCAGATTTAAAACCACCCTGCAAATGTTAAAATATACCAACGGTCTCAAAACGATTTTGTAGGTCATTAAATGAAATAAATCAAATATCAACGTTCTCTTAAAGTGAAATATGCCAACAAATGTTATTCTTATAATGATTATCGTTTGGCATAAAACTTGTGTAAAGAAATCTGTCTGGTGGGCATAGCAGGACGGATCCAATGTTGACCCATGTTTGATGTCAACATGAAGAGGGGAATAGAACTGGGACCACAGACTTTATTAGGCACATTATCAGGCAAATTGTGTCTTCATTATGTGTGTCAGTGTCAGAGTTCTTTTTCCCCATGTGCCTCAGCATTATATACTGAGAAATGATAGCCACACTACCTTAGCCAGACTTAATATGAAATAAGAAGAAACACATATACACAGACAGAGATACACACACAGCACACCACAACACACACATATATTCTTGTTATACAAAATATTTTTATATTTTGATGCACACATATCCAAAACTGTAATAGCTAATGATATAATATAAATATAATATATAATATAAAATATAAAATGGGTGCTACTAATTTGTAAGCATGCAGAAATTTATTTAAGAGTTTTCTTCCATTTATTAGATGTTTGAAAATGTCATTCAATTTATTTTGATCATATTCACCCCTGACATAACTCCCCCTAGGTCAATCTCTACCTAATTGTGAGCTGATTTTCCCCTGTGAAGTCTATTTTGTGATGCCCACATACTCAGAGCCATACGAAGAGCATGGTTGACCTACTAAGGACCACACCCTTAAAGAGAACTGAATCTTCTCCCAGAAACCATCAACTGCCAATATTTGTTCGTCTATAGGAGAGGCTTGATGCGTATATCCCACCCCTATGCTGGAATTTCGACCTGCTTGAGCTGGCACATGTCTTGTGAATGCAGTGAAAACATCTGTGAGTTTAAATGTGCAGCTGCCTTGTTTGGTCAGGAAAACACTGTTCTCTTTAGTCATCCTCTGCCTCTGGCTCCTACACTTTTTCTACCCACTCTTTCTTCTGCAGCATTCTCTGGGCCTTGTGGGAAAACAGGTGTGACACAGATGTTCCATTTACACCTGAGGATTCAGTAATATTATTCTCTTCACCTTCACCAATTGCTGGTCTCTGTTTTAATCACCATCTACTTCAAAAATTAGTGTCCCTAATGAGAATTGACAGATGCATTGATCTATGAGAATAATGACAATCCGTCAGGAGTTGGTGTAATAATGGGTCCATTTAGAAACAAACTCATAGCAAGCTTTTCTTTAGGCCTATGATCTGTCTAGTCATTGGTTTTTAGCCGTGATAAGAAAGCCAGTAATGGGTTTCATCTTCTGCGGCAGTCCCTATATACACTCAAAAAATTCCTGGCTACTCTCTGACTTTCATGCTGACTATTACGTTAGTGGGCATGTCTCAATAGATCAGTTATTACGGTGGCTCAAGGGGCTACAGCTGAGTAAGATTGGTAATTACTGCTTTTCGTCAGTAGCATGCATAGCACTTTCCAGCACTCTGAAATATAGCCAGTGGGGATTAAGCTTATATAATATTTTATGATTTGATTATGGTTGCCTTTACCAATACTGTCTTGCCTTCAAGTTCTAGAGGGTAACAGAGATTATTGTCAAAAACTTTTAATGTTTGGGACATATGGGACCAAAGAGGTGACCATTCCTGACACTGATATTTTGTTGTTGTTGCTTTGTGGTGTCTGGTAGGATATTGTTTCCTTGCTACTGAGTGATGTTATTTAAGCTCTCTCACTTTTTATTTTCTTTCTGTGAAGTTTTTATAGTAATAGATTTCCATATGACTTTTTCAAAAAGACTTTAATGTTATTTATCCCTCCTTGTGCTCATTCTTTTATCCTGCTCTCTCAACTCCACCCTATTTAAACTATTTGTTTTACACTATGCCTGCTTTCTATTGTGAATGCTGGGGATTTGAACTCAGATTCTTCTGCTTGCCATCTCTCTAGTCCACATAATATCTTTTTATTTTTAATTATCATGTCCAAGATCTGTGATGAATTCCAGTAAGAGAAAAGGAACCATAATCAATTTGATGTAATAGATTTAGGTGAACGTTTAACTGTTTTGCCTGTGTAGTTTATGATTATCTAGAGAGCCCACTGTGTTGACATCGTCCTCATATTGGTTGGAGACTGTTTTCAGCTAAGTGTTTCAAATTATGATGCACTGATGCTAAAATGGCATGAGGGTTCAATTCATTCTGTAGAAACATTTGGAATTTTGACATCGTCGTGGCTTTTGCTCTGTCATTGGACATACTCTTGTATTGTTGGAAAGCAGCAGGAAGCTTCAGCCTCCGATAAGCATAGGGAAGCAAGGACAGTTTATCAATACTGTGTTGATAGGTTGTGGTATTTAATAATTTAGACAAGTCAGGAAATTTCCAGCCCCATGGTAGGTGGCACCATTCCCTAGGTATGGAATCCCGAACAGGGTAAGAATGAATAAATTGAGCTGAGCACAAATAATAAACAAGCATGCATACATTCATCTCTCTCTGTTCTTGACTAAGGATGTGATGTGACCAGCTGCTTTCAGTTCCAGCTACTTTGACTTACCTGCCAGGAAGAATTGAAACCTGGAATTGTGAGCTAAATAAATCTTTTCTCCCCTTAGCTGTTTAAGCCAGATATTTTATCAAAGCAGCAGAATGAAACCAAGACAAGGGATCATTTTATGTGAAGCAAAATCCAAATGTGATATCACTTACTTAAGGTAGCACCACATATTTAAAGAGTAACTCTCAAATCATTGAAACAGTCCAGAAAATGAAGAGTGGACAGATGGGGAGGTGAAAAGTTAAGCTAGAATCTTAAGAACTTTACTAAGCATCAGATATAAGCTTATACCTTTCTAAACTTGGATTTGATTTTATTTTAAATTGTGTGTGTATGTGTACGTCTGTGTGTAGATGTTTACATGTGAAGCCAGTGCTTGTTAAGTGAGAAGAGTGCATCCGAGCCCCTGCATCTGGAATCAGAGGGTGTTGTGAGTGGTTTCAGGGTGCTGGGAGCTGCAGGCACTCTGCACCACTGAGCAGTATCTGCAGCCCCAGGTTCTGTAGCTTTTTAAATGCAACACGAACTTGAAAGTCAATGTCAACATGCACTCGGTCCAGCAGACCCTTTCTAGAGCTTTTGCATACATATAGAGGATTCGGTTTTTATTTTTGAGATCACGGTCTCTTTTAGTGCGTATATTTTCTTTCCCATGAGCCTCAGGGAGGGCTTTTTAAAGCCAGCAAAGTGAAAATGTGTGAAACCAAAATACGTCTTAATGCAAAGGAGGAAAAATAATTCAGGGCCAGAGTTTAATTGCTTTCAGATTCAGTGTTTCATTTGGGCCGTTGCTTACTACTGAGAAAATTATTTGAAGAGCTTAGAACAGGAACAACTTGTCTTATTAACAACTCGGGAAAACTCCAGGAAAGCAGTGGGCAAAGGCTGACTTTCTTTAATCAGGATTGAGTTGTCTTCATATTCTTTCAAGTTGCGTCTCAAATCCTGTTCACATTCTATCTAAGTTCACTTTCCCTGGATGAGATTCTACATTAACATCAGAGATTGTTGACCCAGAGTTTACATTCTTTAAAAA